GCAACTACGCCCCAGTTCTGGTCTCAAATAGATACATGCAACGGATTGCCGGATTGTTTACATGCAATGATATGCAACCTGGACGCCGTGGTAGCGACCCACGTATTTCCGGCGTTGGAGAGCGCTACGAGACTGCTTGGAGACTGCTTGGAACGCACTGGGATGTACCGGTCCCGTGGGCGGTGTGGCCGATGCTGCCGTCTGCTGTGCCGCGGAACGTCTCGCCTCGAGGTGCGCGGGCGCCGGGCCGACGACAGCGCGTGGCTGGCTCTCGTCACACGCGGCCGGCCGGGCGGCCGCCGCGCCAGACGGGCGCTGCACCGCGCGGCGTCGCTGAGCCGCCGCGCTCGACGGAGGCGGTGTGGCGCTATCGCGCCCGGCTCCCGATGATGGATGGCTCCGGATGTGGTAAACACGGCGCTGTTGACGCCTCACCGGCCGCGGCGGCGCGGTTCAATACATCTGCGGGCTGGTCGGGAGGAATCGAAACACGCGTGAGGTAGGTGGTGCGGGCGCCTGCGCATAAGTGGTGTGTGGTTTTGAAATAAGGGCACAGATCGCGTTTGCCCTGCGACAGGACATGCGCGTGTCTGGCAGCTTTTGAGAACCCCGTTCAACTCCCGCTGACTTCTGCAATACGTGATTAACGTGTGCTTAAATTCACCGGCCTGGGTACAGGCAAGCCGGCGAGGACTCCAGTGCGGACTATCTTGCACTCGTGGCCAGGGATCTAGCTTTACCACCTCGCAAGCCCGGCGTGGCGGCCCTCGATGAGAGCGGTGCGGCGTGCACCCGGCCGAGGTCAGCCGGAGGTCAGCGCTCTGACGCTGCCGGAACTGGGCGGCGCCGCCGGCCGCCTGATGGCTGCGGTCTCGCCCCAGCCACTCGGCCCGTCTTCTGCGACGAAAGGTATCGCTCGTCCGTCGGCGGGGCGCGGTTCGACGGCCTGCAGCGGACTGCGGCTGAAATATTCAGCGGGCGGAACGGGATCCATGTGGGGCGTGACCTGGACGGCCGCAGAGGGCGCCCGCATAGCGACCGGAGGTACCGGCTCGGTCTGAATAGCCACCGACAGCGCCGGCTCCACCCGCGGAAGGGCTAGCTCAGCGTCAACAGCCACAGGAAGTGCCGGGTTTGCCCACGTGACCACAGAAGGTCCCAGCTCGGCCGTGACGGCCCAGAGCATGCCGGCTACGACCTATCATATGCAGAAGGCGTGCGACTCCGCCTGGACGGCTGCAGAAGGCTCCGAGTCTGGCCACGCACAGCAGGCGCCAGCGCCGACGGGACGGACACAGAACGCGCCAGATCCGCTCGGGCAGGCTCGTTTTCTGGACAAGTGTAGGTCGGTTGGCCGACGGGACGGACACAGAACGCGCCAGATCCGCTCGGGCGGGCTCGTTTTCTGGACACAGCGTAGTTCGGTTGAAGGCGGACCGGCCGGCGTTTCACGCGGGCCCGCGTGACCGATTGAATGCGACGCGCTCGGGTGGGAGGGGGCTCAAATCAACTCCCATCCGTTGACCCCTCTCCACCCAAGCGCGTGTTCAATGTCCGGCTGTCCATGCACTGTCCAGCCTTGAGCTCGCGGACAGTTCGAAAGTGGGCGGGCTGATCAGCATTTGACGGTGCGGTTGCCAGTAGTCTGCCCAGTCAGATGACATGATCGTCGTTGATGACATGGTTGTCAGTGGACGGTCCATTAACGTTGCGGTCATTAGCTGGCTTTCCGGTCATCAGCTGACTGTCTGGTGGTTATCAGCTGACTGTCCGGTCATCAATTGTCTGTCCGGTCATCAGCTGGCTGTCCGATGGTCATCAGCTGACTGTTCTGTGGTCATGAGCTGACTGCCCGGTCATCAGCTGACTGTCCGTTGGCCATCAGCTGACTGTCCGTCCGCCAGTTAAGTCGTGTTGGGCCGTCATTCCAGTCGTAGTTACTCTCCGGTTGTCTACTCACAATCTAGAGACTGCCTGTCGGTCAGCTTCAGAGAGGCTTTAGGAGGGCCTTGGGCTGTCCAGCCAGTGACGGCCCGACCCGTTCGTCAACGGTCTGACTTAGCTGACGCCCGGGTCGTCAGGCGACGGTCCTGTCGCCGCTCGGCACTCCTGTCGTCGCCTGACGGTCCCGTCAGCTCTTGACGTCGCCGCTGTCAGCTGACGCTGGCGTCATCAGCTGACATCGCCAGCGCCAGCTGACGGGGTGACGAGGGCTGGGCGGCGGCCCGGCGGCCGGGCATCGACCGGCCGGCTGGGCGGGCCGGCGGGCGGCGCGGCGTGACTCAGCGGCCGCCGCCGCCGCTCTGCCCGGCCTCATCTCGCCGCCGGCAGTTGGCCATCGATTCGGCAGGCGACGGTCACAGGTGGACGGGGTACGCGCCGCGCCGGCCGGCTCGCCGCGGGGACGGGCGAGCCGCCGCCGCTCGGCCGAGGGCCCGGCCGCCGGCGGACCTGTGTGCGAAGTTCGGGAGGTGGGAAGTCTCGCTCTCGAGGAGGGTTCGCTGCTGGAGTGGGGGGCTGGGGAGTTGTCGGGGAAAACGCTGCGGAGGTGTGCTCGGGTGTCTTGACGATACGCGTTAGTGGGATTCGGTGTGTGGAGGGACGTTATTGTGGTGCTGATGTTGCTGTGGAAGAGTGCAACACATCGTGGGGCGCCGAGCCCGGCCGCTAATGAGGAGAACACGATTACCCGAGGCGCTGGAACCCATTGCGTGCTGATGAGGCGGGATGGCGGGACATCTGCGACCGCAGAGTACACCAACACAGAATGGCCCCTACGCACAAGCGGGGTGGTGCTACTGAACATGTGCTCGCTCCAAAGCCCAGGCCCTGGGGCTTGACACTAGTTTGTGCGCTTTTTTATTTTCGCGGAGGATTGCGACGGCTCGCATCGCGTGCTGGCCGTGGTTCTGGGTGTGGCCGGACCACAAGCAATCGTGGAAAGCACTGGGCCTGGGCCAATGCCACGGTCGGCGCGATCTTGTTTTGGTGTCCGGGAATTCTGACCGACGCACTTGTAGAGTCAATTGCAGGGCTCCAAGTAGAGGTATTGGGCTCCTGTTCCAACAGGATTTTCGAATGATGTTGGGACCGGATCTGCTCATGTTTTGGTTCGGCCAGTTCGGACTGTTCCGGTCGGATAAGATGATATTTTATGAACGCGTGCACTGAACCTAATAACAGGGAGGTAGTGTAGCTGGCAGCTTGCTCGAAGTTCAAAACACACAAAGCCATGATGGCTGGATGCAAGCTTCATAACACAATGCGTTTTAGGTCTGATTGCCCTGTGCCCGGGGTTGGGGCGGCCACCACTGAGGCGTACCCGCTGGGAGGACGCGGCCAGCTCGTGTACGCAGTGCGTCACGCGATATTCAACGAAGTACCTCGCTTACCAGCGCCATCTGCGCACCCCAACGGCTATTCAAAAGCGCGAAGTGCATCAGCCCACTTGAAGAGCACAGTGAAAGACAGGCATGGTTGCTGCAGTCATGTAGGGTATAGTATTGTCCAGAATATGTCGTACTACAGAGAACACGGTGAAGCGAATCCAGCGTTTTGCCCGCTGTTGACGAATTTTGTAGCCCCGTCTCACTCTGGGCTTGCTTTGTGCCAAGAATTTATTTTGATAGTTTTGACAGCCCTGGGGCTAAGGTGTCGTTGGGCCTGGATAACGTCCGCCTCCCTGGCCTGTCCACGAAATGTAAGCGCTTTTGAAATAGTACGGATGTGCATACTATCATGCATTTTATAAACATCTGCACTTCTGCATGCATATCATGCTTAAATGGTGTAATTGTGATATTTAAAGCCTTGTGTTAACTTCGAACGACTACTAAGTCGTTCTCCTGCGATGCGAATGAACAGACATGCCATCGGTAAGGACGACCATTTCGGCTGCTAAAGACGGCCATCTTGGCTATTAAAGACAAATAATACCAGGTGACTTAGGTAAGGAAGAAGTGTGCCGTGCAGTGAGATCTGCGTCCAACTACCTTGCTGTGATCTAGCTCGGTGGTTGGACCTTGCCGCCAACAGGAGGTCGCCAAATCCATAGCCAAATGACCAATTTTGCAATGCGGACCATGCAGCATCGTCGTTGTTTAATTGCCTTCGCCGTGCCAAAACCGGGGCTTGCCTGCCATTGGCTTCACCGGGCACCTCGACAGCAGCCAGCTAAAAGTTTTACCATGCTCTCGGCTAGATTTAGTGCTCATCAAGCTGTCAGGAAAACTGTAGATTGCATTTTTACGACCTTGGGGCCACAGCGAGCAGCGCGACGAGCCCAGCGCCGGGACGGGTGCGGTGGAGCCTGCTCGGGTCTGCCCCCGTCTGGCTGCCCCCAGTGTGCGGTCACCGCTACTCCGGTGACGAGCGCAACAAGCGGCACATCGGGGCGCATTGGCGCCGGCCGGAGCGGGCCCGCGGCCGTAGAGCGCGCGGTGGGAGCCGTCTATGTTGGGTGTCACATGCTGGAGCGGGCCGGTTTGCGGGGTGATGGACAGCCATGGCGAGCAGGGATGCGCCGTCCCGGACTCGAGCGCGAAGTGGAGACTGGAGAACGTCAGCGGGTTGCAACACACCGTTTGTTGTCGGACAAGCGTGGTCGCTGGTGCCTGTGGACTCCTTCGCATGTACCCGTGCGGCCCGCTTGCCTCCGGAGCGAAATAGCTCAGTTGGTAGGGCGTGGGACATGGCTGTGGAAGCTGTGGACCGTCTCCTCGATTAGTGGGCGCTGGTTTGGGCGCCGCAGCCGCCGGCGCCCCAGCGAAGGTCTGTGGCGGTATGCGCCGCGCACTCTGCGAACAAAACACGGTACACCCGGCGTCGGACGGCCGGGTTCGGGTCAGTGCGGCTGTGAGCTGTGGCCGTGCGCCACGTCATCAGCTCATCTGCGGGCGGGCCGGAGCCTGTCGACACCAGCGAGCGCCCCTAGTCTCCCTTCCCCCCTTCGCGCCTATCAGACTGGCGCCGCGGCTGACGGAGCCGACCCGTCTCGGCAGGCTCGCGTGCTGGAGCAGCGGCTCTCCGACCTGGGCTGGACGCCGAGCGAGAGCTCGGAGCGACTCAGCGCGCTGCGCACCACCGTCGACGAGAAGGACAGCACCATCACCCAGCTGCAGTCGCAGGTGAGACCGGCGGCGCCAGCCAAGCCAGGTCACTGCTGGGACTGCTTCCGGCGGCTCACAGCGCCTGTCCCTCCGCGCCCCCCTCCTCACATCGATCTTGTATATATATATATATATATATATATATATATATATATATATATATATATATATATGCATCATGCATTACATATGTGGCAGGTGTAGTCAGTCATATATACTGTATGTCTTTGCACACGCTTCTGCCACAATGTTCTGTTTTCTTCTCCCTCGACTGTGTGTCTCCTCCATCTTTCCTCATCGCCTTCTGTTGTCATGTTTATCTTTCACTGGCTGTACTCACGGGCGCTCTTTTGTTCCTCTATTTCTGGGCTCTTGGTGCCTGTCGGCACTCCTTCATTTGCATGCATCGTTCTCATATGTGGAAAACCTGCCGGGTGAGGCTTCTGCGTCTGTCCCTCATACTGTGTCTGACCCGCCGCTCCCCGTCCGGCAGGTGGAGGAGCAGCGCATGCTGAGGCTGAACGAGGCCAAGCAAGTGGAGGCGAAGGCGGCCAGAATCAAGGACTGGGTCACGAACAAGCTGCGAGACGTGAGTTCAGAGTGGGACGGCGTCAGCAAAACACAATCGACCAAACTGTTAGGCTGAGCCCGGGGTATAAGCGATACGTGCTCCACTGCAGCTTTCTCCCCTCCTGTTGGACTTCGCTGGCAGCGTCGCCGTGGCTTAAAAATCCAGGCCCACTCAGCCATTCTTTTACCTCAGCTAATGGCCGACAAGATTTTGCTATAGCGGCTGCCAGCCGACCTGCCATTCTCATGTTTTCTCCCGTCGCCTGTCTCCCCCGTCCTCGGCGGCGGCGGCGGGTGTCCCGACGTCGCCGGGCCGACAGCGCCGCCCTGGAGGCCCTGTCCCGCAGCCGGAGACAGGCCTCGCAACGACATCGGGCGACAGCGCGGGCTCGGCTGGTCCCTCGGGCCGCTCGACCCGGCCTGTGAGGGATTCACGGGGGGGGGGGGGGAGGACGCGCGAACACAGTCTGTGAGGGGCGGTCGCGTCGTTGCTGATCGCGACGCTGTACATTGGGCCGCTCACTCCGCCACCGTAACGACATCGAAGTACGTAAAATTGGGGTTGATGGTGGTCATAAAAAAGTCGTTAGTGCATCGCGCATGTGATTGATGAGGAACCGTCAGGTACCATGCACACTTAGTATTGGCTCTCAAGCGTGGCGCATCGAGCAAATCCCCGCGTACCGGACACGTCCAACATCACGCCCCACGCCCTGGCGTGGGCGGGGTCACGGGCTCCGTTGTGCCGAGCATATTGGAATTAAATATGCAGTAGAGTGCAGTAGAGTTAAGGGAATGTACACGATTAACAGCTCTGACGGTCGTGCTCCTTGACCTGACTTGACCTCATAAGTGGTGCCCGGCCGGCTGTTCGCGGGTCGATGCCGGCTGTTTGGAGCGGGCCGGTCGCCGCCCTACTGACTGCTCCGCACCGGAGTATCGGGTCAAGTCGCTGCTGCCACATGCCCTTTACCGCTTTCAGCGTACATCTCCGTGGCTTGCGTAGCCGCCTCCGCCGTCGGCGCGTCATGCGCAGTGCGTTCTGTCGGCGCCTGACACGGCGCCACACTCGTGTGCGTGGTCCGGGGTGCGGGCCGAGGGGAGGGGCTCCTCATTCACGCTCCTAATTACATCAAAGAGAGCTCGTTCATAATGTTCTGTTCAAGTGTGATGAAACGTACCTGGTTATCGTGCCGTAGGGACTTACGAGCCCGTGCAAGCATTAACTTATGATGGTCTTTCATCATTTTTAGCGTTAAGCATGGGAGTGAAAGTTCTTTCGTGTAGCTCTCCGCGGGTATTATGAGAAAAATTAGTAGCACGCCCTTTCAGTGCGCCTGTCGGTCACAGACTTCCTTCAGTAGAAACAGACCTTTTGCGTGTCATCTTCTTTCCCTTTGCGCGCTTTATTTCATGCTAGTGCACTCGTCCGTCATCACCAGCTTAAGTAGATAATGACCTCCCAGGCTCCGGCGTGGGCCAGAGAGCGTCGTCAGCGCCGTGCTCCGTCAGCGGTGACCAGACGGCGCGGGGCCGACGCGGCGCTCCTGTGACCCGACGGCGCCCTCATGTCTCGACAGCTGGAGGAGCAGAACCAGTACCTGCGCGAGCAGAACCAGCGCTGCAACGAGCAGCTGCAGCTGCTCCGGAACCGGCTCACCCAGCTGAACGAGTTCAAGTCGAAGCAGCGCGCCAGCACCGAGGTGAGTGCTCCCGTCGGGGGGAGGGCGGGTGCCGAGAGCACGACCCTGCGCCCTAAGTGACTCACGCGCGCTACCTTTTGTGTGCCGCCAGAGCCGAACGATCGATGGCCGTGATTACGCGCGCTGTGTGGCTTTGTGTCAGCTCGCACAATGCTTAACGTGTGGCCTTATTACCACTAGCCGGCACGGGTCAAAGCGATGCGCGCCGGCCCGTCGCCGTGCGCCTCCCGCGGGGGGGGGGGGGCGGGGGTGGCCGGCTCGGGGGCCGTGCTGGCGATGCATGGCGCGTCGCGGCGGAGCGGGCCCGGCCGCCACCGCCGCCGCGGTCCATCGTCGGCTCCGGCACCCAATATCGCCGCCGGGATTTGAATGGTGCGGTACATCCGAGCCAGGGGGGGGGGGGGGACGGAGGCGGCCCGCTCGACGGCCTGACGAGGACGTCCTGGCCAGCAGATGGGCGACTGAATTCGATGATGCGCGCTTTGAGCGGCCGGTGGACGGGCCTGAGGAGCCTGTGGCGGCTCGGAGAGCGGGCAACTGAGGGTCCCGTGGAGCCGACCAGGAGCGGGTAACTGAGGGTCCCGTGGAGCCGACCGGGAGCGGGTGACTGAGGGTCGCGTGGAGCCCACCGGGAGCGGGTGACTGAGGGCCCCGTGGAGCCAACCAGGAGCGGGTGACTGAGGGTTTCGTGGAGCCGACCGCGAGTGGGTGACTGAGGGTCCCGTGGAGCCGATCGCGAGCGGGTGACTGAGGGCCCCGTGGAGCCAACCGGAAGCGGGTGACTGAGGGTCCCGTGGAGCCGACTGGGAGCAGGTGACTGAGGGTTTCGTGGAGCCTGCCGCGAGCGGGTGACTGAGGGTTTCGTGGAGCCGACCAGGAGCAGGTGACTGAGGGTCCCGTGGAGCCGACTGGGAGCAGGTGACTGAGGGTTTCGTGGAGCCTGCCGCGAGCGGGTGACTGAGGGTTTCGTGGAGCCGACCAGGAGCAGGTGACTGAGGGTCCCGTGGAGCCGACCAGGAGCGGGGCGAGTTAGTGGTCGTCCGTGCCCGCGATCTGCACGGAAGCTGGAAAAGGAACTTGTTGCTACAAATGGGCTTTGTAGGGGTCTGGTTGCGACATGACTTTTCTGGCAATTAGTTGCCTTGAGGCGGTTGGTTTGCGTGCAGTAGTCAATTACGCGAATGAGCATCTTGTAAACGGAGTACTTAGGCACAAAGCTGCAAGGATTGATGGATCATTGCGGCAATGTCGGGACGCCAATGGCTTAATCACGACATTATGCCATAAAGTGATGCTTAATAGCAGTTTGTGCCGCTCAAGGCATGGTGCAAATGATATGAGGATGCAACTGGCCTGCTACGTATAAAGTCGTAGCCAGCCAATCACATTAAAGTCTACGTAGGAAAAATAGCATTTCTTTCACACAACTGTGCCCTAAAGAAGACGTCATTCAAAACAAAGCGTAATACGCTTGGAGGGCCGGGCCGGCTGCACTGCTGTAGAGCTCCATTGTCCCCGCACGGCACCGGTGGTGGGCGCCCCTCCCAGCACCGGCCCTTCCCACCGGACGGCGCAGCCAGTGGGCCCAGTATGGCTCCCGCCGCGGGCGCGTCGCCCCCTGGGTGGGGTCAGTCGCCGTCGGCCCGCGCTATGCGACGCCGTCTCGTGCTCGCTGCACTACGCGTCGCGTGCAGAGTCATGCCCGAGTCGAGTTTGGGTTAGTGGGACGGAGCTAGCGATCAAGCGGGGCGGGTCGTGCAGGATGTCTCTGACTGTGAGAGGTCAGTGGGTCTGTGGGTCTGTGGGTCTGTCAGTGGTCAGTTGGGTGGAGAGCATATCAGGATCGGACGCAAGGTCATCCATCTTCCCTGAGAGCGCCCTGTGGAGAAACAGTTCGAGAGGCTTCCCCCCGAATACTCTGCCATTGCGAGCTTGGCGAGTCTCGTGGTGCCGGAGGCGACCCACTCTGCAGGACAACATCGGCTGTATGGGGTGCTCTCGACTGGAAACCCGGCCACATCCGTATTCAGAGTGCGCAATCAACACAGCTGCAACGCGACCGCCGCCGGGAAAAGAGTCGGCCGGCCTCGGCTGTGCCGTTAGATCCGTGGAACTGGCGCTGTTCCCCGCATAACGGGACGAGACGGGACCGGGACCGCGCTGGTCTGGTCTGGGGGCGCCACCCCGCAGCGACGCGCCCGGTCCAGCGGGGCGCGTCGCTGGGGAGGGGGGGGGGACGCGGCTGACCGAGGCGTGGCCGAAGTGGCGGCGATCGCGGGGGGGGGGGGGCGGCCCCGGCTGACCGAGGCGCGGCCGAAGCGGCGGCGGCGCGAGCTGACCGTGCGCGGTCGGTGGCAGGACTCGTCGCGCGGCAGCTACGAGGGCGACCGGCCGGAGAGCGACGAGAGCCTGCCGCCCGAGCTGCCGGCGCGCCGCGCGCCCTCGCTCGACCCGCACGCCCTGTACGCCGAGGTGGACAAGTCGCGCAAGACGCGCGCCGCGGCGCCGACCGGCCCGCCGCGCGTCACCGTCGAGCGCAAGCGCTACGGCGCCGGCGAGGCGGGCGGCGTGCGCGCCTCGCGCGACTCGCGCGTCGACTCGGGCTCGGTGGACCTGGAGACGCCGCAGAGCTTGTCGCCGGAGACGGCGCCGCCGGCGCCGCCGCCGCGCGGCCGCTCGGCGCCGGCCGACGAGCAGCACGACTACAGCGAGATCTACACGCCCAGCGCCGACGGCTACCGCTGGCTGCAGGAGGAGGGCGCCGACGCCGGCAGTAAGCCGCCCACGCCGCCGCTGCACCGGTTCCCCTCGTGGGAGGCCAAGATCTATCAGGTGAGCGACTCCGGCGGCCCGGGATGTGGTCCGGGGGACGGGGACGCCGCTTGTTAACGCTGCTCTGTGTCCCGCCGCCTCTGTGACTGACTGTGAACGGGCGTGGGTGGAGCGAGTGGACAGCCCACTTTGAAACCTACGTGCTATCCGATAGAAAATCGTCCAAGTCCTTCGAGCGATTGCGTGACCAGGTGAGTTGATGCGTTTCACCTGTGCAGTGACACAGCGCCACGTGCTCACCGCGCTCGCCCGTGACCCAGCACCCTCGCGCTGCAGGTGGCGCAGAAGGGCATCTGTTCGCCGGCGGCGCTCGGTGCCACCAGCAACGGCGCCGGCAGCCGGCTCTCCACCTTCTCCAACTACTCGGACGTGTCCGTGCCGGTCTACGCCACGGTCAAGGGGGTAAGTGGTGGCCCGGCCCGGTGCCGAGTGAGTCATGCTTTATGAGGATGGCTGATGCCGCTCGAGGCGCGGTGTAAGGGCTAATTCGGGAAAGGTGCGCTCCGTGCATAGTAGTAGTGGCGGTGCGGAGTGACTCAGGGGCACGGGTGAGTCAGCCAAGCGTGGGAGTCACGCGAGCAGGGGCGGGGGAGCCAGGGCGAGGCAGACCGGTGTCAGGCTGTCGCCCCTGCCGCTCCGCAGGGCACCGGCTCGCGCCGGTCGGCGGCCGTGCGCTGGCCGCTGCCGCCCCGTGACGGCAGCGGCCGGTGCACGCCATTCCCGGCCGAGACAGACACTCATGAATGCGGAATAGGTCGCGCCGCCTGCCGTGGCCGCCGGTGCCGCGCCGCGCGGCATTGGGCGCCCCGGGGAGGGGCTGGTACGCTGGCGTCGCCCGGACGCCAGTGGTGCTGGCGGTGTCACGTGCGCGGCCCACCTGGCCCGCGCGGGAGGGCCCACCCGATGGTCTAATGGACGGCTGGGCGGGCGCAGGCAGAGGTCGAGGTCAAGGCCGCGGCGCTGCATCGCAGAACGTGTGACCGACGGTTGCCAGGCGGCGCTCCTCCGGCGGCGACCTGTCTCTAACGAAGTCCGCGCTCTGAGAGTCACGTAGGCGCGGCGGCCGCCGCCGGGCGCTGGCTGGTTGAGGTTTGGGTCGCGGCGCGGCGCCACCGTCGCCGACCCATTACGGGCGGGCGGCGGCCGTCTGTTGTGATCGGCGTTGAGTGGAGTAATATCGCGGCGCGGCCGCTGGGGGCGCCCGGCATAACGGCCGCCGACCGCCGCCGCCCGCCGGCGGGCGAGCCGCGCTCCCCGGTGTCGCCCGGCTGGACTGGGAGCGCGCCGCGGATCGGCCGCGGCCCGCCGGCCGCCACGTACGCACGCTGAATTATTCAAGTCGCGCGTTTGGATTTAGTGGCGGTCGTTGTGTCTTCCTTGACCCCCTGCAAATACGGGGTGCTGTGGCTAATTGCCACAGTTTGGTATCAATTATGGAAGGGGGAGGGGGCGGGGGGGGGGGGGGGTGGAGGACATGTGGACTGTGCGTCGACCCGCTGGGGCTATTTGGCCTGTGTTATTAACGCGCCTGCGGACTCGCCGGGTCGGTTTTGCCCGTCTGTTTTCGGGCCGGCCGTCTGCGGGCTCGATATTGGGTTCGGGTGGCACGCCGACCCGGCTCATCGATACAGCCGGACGGAGCGGAAGGCGCACGGCGCTCGGCGCTCGGCGCACGGCGCACGGGGCGCCCCCGGCAACATCGCCCGCCGCCCCACGCGCCCGGAGTACGCTCAGGGAGAGGTCGCTGTCGGCGCCCACGGACTGCCGAGTAGTCCTGCGCACTCTCCCCTCCCCTCCCGTCGGGTGGTGATTGTAACGCTGCAGCAGGGCCTCCAGAGTGTTGAGAGCAGGCTCCTTTCGACACAGGTGGACAGCACGCCCTCATTACGTGGCAGTGGCAGGTGTTCGCGTTTGGCTAGGAGAATGGCGGTCAAGTCTCAGAAGTAATCGTATTTCTGTCCACTGGTTCTCGGTTACCTGCGACGGAAAGACGACGTTAGGATTCTGCTCAATCATGTGAATGTTCACGTCCGCTTCGTTACGCCTGGCGTGCCCTCCCGTGGCCTTCCGCTAGAGTGGTAGGCTGAGCTCTGTGCTACGGTGTTGACGTCGGGCTGTGGGTAGGCTGAGCTCTGTGCTATGGTGTTGGCGTCGGGCTGTAGGTAGGCTGAGCTCTGTGCTACGGTGTTGACGTCGGGCTGTGGGTAGGCTGAGCTCTGTGCTATGGTGTTGGCGTCGGGCTGTGGGTAGGCTGAGCTCTGTGCTACGGTGTTGACGTCGGGCTGTGGGTAGGCTGAGCTCTGTGCTGTGGTGTTGGCGTCGGGCTGTAGGTAGGCTGAGCTCTGTGCTACGGTGTTGACGCCGGACGTCTGTACTGACGCCGGTCTCGGTGCGGCAGCGCGCCTCCCAGATCCGCTCGGTGCCGTTCACGGGCGACAGTTCGGACAGCTCGGAGGGCGAGGAGGAGGCGGCGGCCGGCGCGCGCGGCCGACACTCGCACACCGGCTCCTCGGACGACACGGTCAGCTCGCCCTCCAAGTCGAAGGCGAGCCCGGCCAAGACGGCTAGCCCCTGCCGCAGCCCTCGTAGAGGTAAGCCTCCGACACCGCCGCCGCCGCTCGTTCAGGCCAGCTGGCCGGGTGATGTCTGTGTCTGATGCGAAGCGCGTGTTTTTGGTGATGTGTGTGCTGACGCCAGTCTTCGGGCGTGTTTAATGTCTGCAACTCATGGCGACACTTGTGTTAAAGGGCGGGCCAGCTCGTTTTTTTGTAGTTGCTTCGTGATTAAACTTATACTCTTGATGGGCCCTGACAGGCAACAAATCGGCTGCCGTCATGAGTCGAGCGGAAGTTTCCTTCAGCAGTGCTCGATCATCAGGTAATGGCGCTGGGTGGTGGTGCCACCAGCGCCGTTTCCAGCGCCTTTTCCGAACGCTTGGAAAGCGGGGTGACCGCCTTCGCCGTGCCGTCCGATACTGGTCGTTTGTCTTCCGTGCGGTTTGCGTGCGCGACGTTGTTAATGGTGCGACAAGGGCTGCGCCAACACTTTATCATGGTGAATGACTTAGCGGGGCGTAACTGGTGAACGGCCAAAACGGAAACAATCCTTCACTAACCTACAAATCACCCTCTAGCGCAACAACAATTTGCTGGAGTGGGATCCGTGTCTCCGGGCCATTAACCGTCGTGGGCCCTTCCGTCGAATAATGCGCCTTATATTGGATTTCCATTTCCGATAAACGTGCCGACGTGACTGGCACTAAGCGGTCGGTTACTCCTCCCCTATCCCCTCCCCTCCCCTCCCATATATATGGGGACGGCAATAACAGGCCACCACCGAGCTTGGCATGGCGCTGTGGGACGACTGCAGCCGAGCGCCTGCCGAGCTTGTGCTGGGACCTCTGAGCTGGCGAGGTGGCGCACTCCCCCTCCCCTAGCGCGCACCGTCTCGGGCGCAGCGCCCAGCAGGCTGTGGCGCCTCTGCAGCCGTCGCATTTGCTTTGGTGTCGCCGGTCGGTCGACCCCGGCGCCAGCGGACCGGACCGCGCGCGTCCGCCCTCCAGACGGGGCAGCGGGTACCCGGTCTTGGTGGTGCGCTGCTGACCCAAGCTGACCCGACCCGACTCGGCTCTCCCGCGCCGGCAGAGCACAGCGTGGAGGGCGACGCGTCGGCCGACTACGCGCTGCCGCCGGACGCCGACACGGTCAGCCTGGACTCGTCGCTGGCGCGCGGCTCGTACGCGGCCGGCTCGCTCAGAAAGGTGGGCCTCAGTCGCCGCCGCCGCCGCCGGCCGGCGCGGTCAGCACCCCTGGCCGGCGAACGTCAGCTGCCTTCTCATCAGCACGCTGCCAGGCTGCGTGCGCGTGGCGCTCTGGACGCTGTTCACCGCGTGACGCGTGCGTGGGGCGATGGAAAGCCGCTCAGATTTGATGGGCGACATGTCAGCGCGTGTGTCAGGGAAGCTCGTTTCTAAGGGTCGCGCAGATTGATGACACTCGTGTCTCGGAGACGTGCGTTAAGGCCGCCGCGTTTAATCGCGCTGATGTGGACCGTTAGATAATGGCACGCTGCCGGACGCCGAGTGGTAGGACCGTGCTGCTCTGTCGCCATGCCTGGCGCTGGGCTCGTTCAGCCGTGGACGTGACACTCCGTGACCCCTTCCCCAGGCCAAGGCGCTGGAGCGGTCCGGCTACCTGACCAAGCTGAGCGGCAAGCTGAAGACGTGGCGGAAGCGCTGGTTCGCGCTCAAGGACGGCCAGCTCATGTACTGGAAGTCGAAGGTGCGGCGGCGCGACGAGCGGTGGCGGTCGTTGGCTGGGACGAGATTCCGGACTAGCACCCTCCGGGGACCTTTGACTGCCGCTCTGGCAAGCTCATCTACTTCAGGATATGCGCAGTCTGCAGCACCAGATAGTACAGTGGCCATTGCGACAGATTTGCGAAAGCTTGTTAAGGAAAAGCGGCATCAGGGATGTCAGTCCGCGTCGCCTTGCCACTCTCTGCATGCCTGTGCCGTCGCTAAGGACTTTGTGCCATATCACACAGAAGTTTTGTTGCGTGTTCAGACCTAGTGCTCGTGTATCGCTGCAAATCCCGGGGCGTGCGAGGCTCGGGCAAAGGCTGACTGACGGGGGAAGTGAGGAGGGGGGAGCGGTGCCGCCGTCAGCGCCGTTTCCGCACGGCTGTCGCCAGTCCGTGGCCCCCCTGACCGGCGCCGACGCGACGCCCGCAGCACGACGTGGCCCGGAAGCCGCCGCAGGGTGAGATCGCGCTGGACGACCGGTGCCGGGTCGGTCGCCAGGAGGGCGCGCACACCTTCGAGGTCAGCACGGCCAAGAAGACCATCTACCTGACAGCCGACAATCAGAGCACCGTCGACGAGTGGGTGCGCGTGCTGCAGGTGGGTGCGGCCGGCTGGCGCCGCGCGGCGGACCGCTGGTGCGGCCTTGGTCGGGGGCAGGCCACTTCGCGCCGTGTGGTGTTGTCTGTTGGAGCAAGTGCTGGGTACAAACGCATTTGGGAAGGTTGGGTTTCTTGTGGTGGCTAAAAAGGGGACATGGGTGTGAGCAGTTCTTTGCGGGGCTTAGAACTGCTTGGACAATGGAACGCGCGGGTTATGTGCAATGGCCGACTTTTGCAAATTTATACAAATAAAGATGATAGAATATCCCGACGAAACTCGGCTTCTTTCTGATATGCACTTGTGTGCTTCTGCCCCAATATTTCTGTTTCGTCCCAACACTTAAGCATTCCGTGTTTGCCTGACTGTGTTTGCGTAGGCTCGCAGCCGTATCCCTTTCTATACACAGTCACGCCATATTGATTCCCCGTCATTGTGTGGCTGTGTCTTCGGCCGGGTGGGGGTCGCGCTTTTCAGACGGTGTTTTTGTCTTTGGTCCCACGTGGGTGAGCTGATGGCGCTGTCTGTTGCGCCGCCGCCTAATGGGCCCCGGGCGGGCCGCGGCCTCGCCGTGCCGACGAACGGTGCAGCGATCGATTCGCTGTATCGGCTGTCACCGGCCTCCGGGACGGGGTAACGCAGGATGGATGTGGAGGTCCCGGATGTAATTGTGGAGGGTAGGGTCCTAGCCCCAGATGGCCGCCGGCGGCTGGAGGCGATCTGGGTGCCGCGGCGTAACCGAGACAATCTCGTCGGAGGTGAATTGGAGGCTGGGTAGTAGTCGCAATGAAGCTACGTGTACGCCCACGCGGCGCGACCGACGCGGTTGGGCGGAGATCAGGGCCGGCCGCCGCGCGATCAGAGGAGGGGGGGGGGGCAGATCGGGGAGGTGGCAGCGAGGTGCGGAGCGAGAGCAGAGTTGTGTTGCTCGGCGTGAGCAGCACGGGTCTGCTAGAGACACGCAGATCTGTATCGGTTCTAGTCGGCAGTCAGCGGAGAGACGCCAGTAGCCGTCGACGGGGCGTGAGTCGGCGGCTTGTACTGCCGTCCCATCCGGCAGTGGCCGTGCCTCGGTGGTCCCGAAGAGTCCGCACAGCGTCTCGGGAGTGTGCGGGCCCCCAGCCGGGCTCACTCATCCCGGAGTGGCTGTCTGGGTGCCGGCGTGGTCGGCGCCAGCCCGTTGCGACCGGTATCGATTCCGCCAGCCACCCTGCCCGCGGCCGGATCCAATTTGTGGCGGCCGATCGAGTTTTGCCGGTTGTTCGGCGCCGGCCGTGATGCCGTGCGCTCCATTCGGCCGAGGTGCCCGCCGGGAGGCTGACCGGACTTCCACGAGCCGGCCGCCGACGGGCCGGACCGAGCCGAGCCGGGCCGACCCGACCCGACCCGACCCGACCCGACCCGACCCGACCCGACCCGACCCGACCCGACCCGACCCGACCCGACCCGACCCGACCCGACCCGACCGGTGACCTTACTATGACGTCGGCGGTCGGTGACTGGCACTGCGCTGGGCGACTCTATCGATGTTGAACCGCGCACACTTCTCGGAAGCCGTCTCGACGTCCGATACTGCTCTTAGATGAGTAGAGTTATGTCGAAATAATGTATGGCATAATACTATTACAATAATGATGAATAACCAGGCTAATACAGTGGACTAGTATGATTTATGAGTACTCGCCGCGGTGGCCCGCTATGGCTTGGCGTGCAATGAGACAGCGGCCAGGGCGGCGGCGTTACCCGAGCGGCTTGGCTGACAGTGGTGCCCCCCCCCCCCCTTCCAGAACGTGCTGCGCCGCAACGCGGCGCACCTGCTGCTGAGTCGCGAGGACTGTAACTCCACCATCCAGGGCTGGCTGACCAAGGTCAAGAACGGGCACTCGAAACGCTGCTGGTGCGTGCTGGTCGGCAAGATGCTGCTGTACTTCAAGACGCCGAACGAGACGGTAAGCGGCCGGACTGGTCTGTCCCGACCGGACCTGACCCAATCTGACCTGACCTGGCCTGGCCTGATCTGACCTAGCCTGATCTAGCCTGACCTGATCTGACCTGACCTGGCCTGATCTGACCTGACCTGATCTGACTTGGCCTTATCCGACCTGACTAGGACTGATCCGATCTAACCTAGCCTGATCTGACCTGACCTGGCCTGCCCTGACCTGACCTGATCTGATCTGACCTGACCTGATCTAATCCGACCTAATCTAGCCTGATCAGACCTTATCTGCCATGGCCTGACCTGATTTGACCTGACCTGACCTGGCCTGATTTGACCAGGTGTTGGTGTTGGCAGGCGGTGTGTTGAGAATGTGAGATCCTCGACTACGGGTGGCGCGGTGTCTCCCTTCTCTGGCGCGCGTCTTACCATTGTTTTGCCGTGTTGGCCATTGTTGGCCAGTCCCGGCAAATATACGGTTTTTGACCATGCGGATCGCATCGGTCACGTACTGAAGTACACATTCTGTAGGCCGCATTCATTCCTAACGGCCATGCATGTGATGCGGTATAGCTCAGCGCACGTATCATGAGCGCACGTTGACTGGCAAGATTCACCCAGGGGCCGTCTGCTGCCAGGACGAATGATCGCGTCCGCGCCGCCTGACCGCGCCTCCGCCCCGCCAGGTGGCCTCGGGCCAGATCAACATGCGAGACTGCCGCGTGGAGGAGGTGTCGCACATCACTGACAGCGACGACGACTCGGACACGCCGCCCCAGGCGGCTGACCTCACCGTCGGCGTGTTCCCGTCGCACCAGAGCCCCACCTACTTCATCATGGCCAACAAGGGCGACAAGGTGCGCAGGCGACGCTCGGGGCTGGGCGCGGGCTGGCGGCGGCGGGCGCGTCCTCGGCGCCGCGCCGCCTCGGTCGATACGCCTCCGCGGCCGGTCCCCGGGGGGTGGCTGCGTGTCGTGCGAGGGAGGACGCGCATGGGCTGGTCTGGCCGGCATAGGCTCGCACCCGAGCGGCGGCCGCGGGCGAGTGTTCTGCTTCGGAGAGCGGAGGCGCTGAAGGCTGGCGGGGTTCGCTGTTGGGCCAGGTGCTGGGCAGGTGATGCCCCGGTGGCCGGCGCCGGTCAGAGGCTTGCCGGGCGATCCGACCTGGCTGGGGTCAGCACTCTCGCCGTCGTCCCGCTCGCCGCCGACGGCCGCCCGCCGGGAGCCGACCCGCCGCAGAGGCCGCGGGCGGGCCGGGTCACGGGGCGTGCTCCCCAGCGACGGCAAAGTTGGCGGGCCTCGCCTGGGCTGTGGGCTGTCGGCTTAATGCCCGTTCGCTCGGCGGCGCCCGAGTTTGGCGCGCTGATTGCAGTGTCGCTGGCGAGCGGCGAGGCTGCGGACTCACTCAGCCGGATTAATTATTGCATCGGCCTGATTGGGTTGGGTGCAGTCTGCGAAATCGATGCACGCGCAAGGTTGAATGTCGTTGGCAGCTGGAAGGGCGTTCTGGAGCGATGCTGCAGGAACCACACCAGGCAACCAGTGTGGCATGTATGCTAGGATTGACATGTGATTTTCCTCTGACCATGTGACCGTTTGCCTGCCATCTGACCGCTTGACCTCCGCCGGCCGTCAGCAGGACTCATAGCTGCCCGTTGAGTCCCTGAGCCCCCCTTAATCTCCCCCTGTATGTCTTCAGGACTCCCAACCTTCTGTGGGCAGCGCTGTTGACCCTCCTCCCGGTCCGTGCCGGCAGGACTCGTGGCTGTACCACCTGACAGTGGTGTCGGGCGGCGGCGGCGCGGCCGGCACGCCGTTCGAGCAGATGGTGCAGCGTCTGATGGAGCTGGACGGCGACGCCGAGTGTCTGCTTTGGCGCCACCCGCAGCTGCTGCACGCCAAGGAGCCGCCGCCGCAGCCGCTCACCACCATGCCCGAGGCGCTCCACGCCGAGGCGGCCAAGCTGTTCAAGGTGTGGCCGCCCTCCAGCGGCGCGGCGCCCGCCCGAGCGCGTGTCGGGCCGGGTGGCATTTGGTCCGAGACTGCGACACATTGCCGGTCCGGTCTCTGGTGGCGTCCACCGTGGCGCTACCGGTCGGGCGGACAGTTTGTATTGTTTCTGTGCTCTAGCGGCCGGCGTCTGTGATGAGGATGCAAACCAAGTAAAACACGATTTCAATGCGGTGTTTTTGTTTTGTTTCGCGTGGGGCAAAATCGTGACAGACTTGAGTGCCCGCCTTTGAGTGGCCTCGCTCAGAACGCAGAGACGCGCCGCTGATTCTTGCCGACTGAACAGGCGACTGTTGGCCCCAAGCCGCCTCACTCCGTCGCGCGCGCCCGTGCTCTGTCTCGCTCCCGCCCGCTCCGGGCCGGCCGCGTGACCTTGCGGCTGTCGTCCCCAGTCGTGCCAGCTGTTCGCCTCGGTGCTGGTCGACTCGGCCGGCATCGACTACCACGTGGCGCTGGCGCAGAACGCGCTGCACCTGTGCTGCGAGCGGCCCGAGCTGCAGGACGAGCTGCTGGCGCTGCTGGCGCGCCAGACGGCGCGCCACGTGTCGCAGCGGCTCGGCGTGCAGGTAAACCGCGCCGTCACCAAGATCAAGCACTCGAGCGTAAGTGGGAGGCCGGCGGCGCGCACGCGGCCGCCAATCGCCGAGCTGCCGGTCCCGGTGGGGAGGGGAGGGGGCGCGGCGACGCGCTGGGTGGCGCTAGCCGGGGAGGAGGCGGCGGCGCCGCGCGGGCCCCGTGCGGTGGCGAAGCCGCTGCGCAGGCTCGTGTAGTCCGGCTGCAGGCTCTCTGTCTGTCAGGCAGCGTCGTTTTCAATGTCAAGGTGCGTTCCTTCTTCGCTTTTCCCGCGTGCCTCGGCTTGATGGCTCGTTTTGCTTTGTG